TAGTTGAACGAAGAAATAGAGAAGTGAGGAAGGAAATCAATAAATTAGTGGTGGAAGAAAATCAGCATAACTGGGTTGCAAACCTACCCTTGATTCAAGCATTTTTGAATCAATCACCTGTAGGAAGTACAAGACTACCACCCCAGGAACTTCTTTTTGGCACCAGCACAAGAACACTGATTGATGTAACAATGCATACTACCTCTCCTGAAACAAATGTACTATTTGTATTCAATCACCAGCAGCAATTAGTACAGTTAAGAGCTACAGCCTTCTGTAAATCCATCATGGCAAAAGAACAATATAGGGAAAGAAAGAATAGAAATCTCAATCTTCCAAAATATTTTGAGGTTGATGATGAAGTATTCTTAAGAAATGATGCTGCAAGAATTGCAATAACAAAAATCCCTTCTTTAAAATGGTTAGGCCCATACCGAATAACAAAAGTCAATCATCAAAAGTGGATATATGAAATACAAATGGATGATAATACATGCAAGTTGGTACATGGTAGCAGATTAAGACTAGCCAATGAATCTAATAAGTTGGAAACAGGGAAAGAAGCAACAACAATCTTTCACCTTGTGGAGAAGGAAATAACACACCTCCAATATCTTTCTCAGGTAGAAGGAAGAAATGACTTCCAATTCCGTTTGAAGAATCAAAAAGGCCAAGAAGTCATTGCCCTGTGTGACACAGGAGCATTGAGATCCTTTATTACTGAAAAAGAAATCAAGTTAATGGATGTTACAATTATGGATAAAGAAACAATTGGCTTACCAATTATAACTTCAGCTGATGGGAAAGCTTTAAAGCAAAAAGGAAGCGTAAAGCTGAATATCCAATTTGCTGGAGAAAGTATGGAACAAGAATTTATAGTTATGGAAAATCTAGACATAGCAATAATACTTGGTTGTGATTTCCTACAAACTGTGGGAGCAAACCTCAATTTTGAAGCTAAACAGTGTTCTCTCAAATTTGATAGAAGGAAAGGGAACCTGGCTGAAAGAATAAGGCAACCTCAACTAAACAAAGTCACTATAGCCATGATGGGACAGCATGACTCTTCATCAGAAAGTTCAGATAGTGATGACTCAGAGATGGAAGTTACTAATTCTGATACTGGTTATGACACAAGCAATACTTTCAAAACAGACAGTAATTACAGTCTCAATGAACCTTCAAGCTCATCTGAAAGTGATGACACAGAAACAAATAATGAACTGGATCAAAATACAGATTCAGAGGCAAACATTATCTCTGATAGAGAAGATGAAATACCTAGTTCAGACGATGAGTCAATAATTATTGAAAGCGAAATTATTGATATAACCCATTCGGATAATGAGTCAATAATTATTGAAGGTGAAATTATTGACATAACCCATTCGGATAATGAGTCCCTCATAGTGGTAGATTCATCCCAAGATGAGAAAGAAAATACAAGTGACACAGACAATGAGTCAGTCATATTTTTAGATGAGACTAAAATCATCTCTGAACAATTAGATTCCCAACAAGAAGTGGAACCACAATATATAGAGTTAGAAGATGGAATAACTATCAGAGTGGAACAACAACACAAAATTTTCAACCATTCAACTATAGCCAACACAGGAAGAGCTAACATGAAACAGATGTTGTGGCTTCCACTAGTGATGACTGTAATGGTGATCTGTGGCTGCATCCACTCAATAACAGTCCCAAAACCATCCTACCAAGGTGCCCATGTTACAAGTGCAAACATTACCTTAACATTTAAACCACCATTATACTTTTGTTCTAACCAACTACCAAGCCAGGCATTTGATCTAGCAGATGAGCCAACTTGTAATATAGAATCACAAGAACCAAGACAATTACAGCTGATATCTATGAATTGAACTTGGAAGAAATTGAAACAAGAGCAGTAAAATGTCAAGTGTATCTAAGAACTAATTTTTACACTTACTATTTCTTTGGAGCAAAGAAGAGGAGGATTGTTAACTCAGTTATCAAAGTAACTCATGATCAATGCAGACAGATGATAAAAGACAAACGATCTTTTCAAGGAAAACCTTTAATGGTGAAAAGAAACACTTGGATCCACCAAGATCAGTTTCCTGCTGCCTACACATGGCCAACAACGACCAAGGTGCTGGAATACACCACAATTATCCAGTTTGGCAAAGCATATTGGCAACCTCCTAATATGAAAATTACAACTAATCTGGACTACCTGGAAGATTGTTTACCAGGGCAGTCCTATTGTGAAACAGAAGAGGCAATTATTGTCTTTAGGAACCTCAAGAATAATTACACACTTGGGCAACAATCACCATGGATAAAAATTAGCAACAGAATTAGTTGTATCAAATTTGCTGGTCACTATTCTTGTCCAGGGTATTCTATTCTGGACATCCCTTATCAAGATAAGTTTATTGATGGAATTGGTGGTCCTGGAACAAAAGTACTAGTACCACTGGAGGAACAGAGTTTAATACAGGAAACAAGCAAGGAACACCTATACAATTTGCTACAATATCAGAGATTGGCAAAAAATGAAGAAAAACGACTATTAAACTATCCCAATAAAGTTAAAGAACAAATTATACTATACAAGCGAAACAACCCCTTACCAAGTCTTAACCAATGTACAGAGAAACAAACACAAAGTATAAACTAATGAGAAATAAAAGGCACACTCAAGGAAGTTGTGATATATCATCTACAACAACCCATTAGTCCATCTTACTGGGAGCTGGATAACTATTATATCCAAGAAATGCTGCAAGCAGTCAATTGGACAAGGGCAACAAGACAATCTGTCACGATTTCAAAATATGTATACAGTGAGAAAAGAATCAAAAAGAAGGTATTACCAACATTGGGCATATGGTATAAAGGACCACCAGCCAGAGAATTAAGATTACCTATGAAGGAATTATTTTACTCTACACATGAGAATGCTAAAAAGCAGATGAAGAAGGAACAAAACTAAACTAAGAAAGAAAAACCCATACCACAAATTCCCATGGAAATGAGAGAGCTGCCCAAACATCTACCTACTACATGTATTGATTCAAATTTAAGAATTAAAAAAAGTTTCCCAACAGCTGTCAAGTCTTCTCTGCAATCAATTTGTTCAAAGAAGCAGAATGATGCATTACTAGCAAATTTGATCCTCAATGACACAGTGTTAACAAATGAGTTGGAATGCACAGTATCAGATGGAGAATAGCTATAATTAAACAATGTTCACCAATAGCCTCAACAGAAGTGTTTGTGACTTAAGCATGATAAAAAGAATAACAAATGTTCTCAATTTTACTTGTCACATGAACAACCTGCTTTTCCAAGTAGAACCAGTTACTCAT